CCTCAGAGGCAACCCCATCCTAAAGTTGGGATTTATCATCTCCATGAATGTTTTTACACTTTAATTGCATGTGTATGTATCAATTAGCATTTTATAGTGTTGTTTGGCATGCTTTAAAATTTGATGTTAATATTAGCATGTTGAACACATCTACTGGCAACATATTTTCCCCTTATTCAATTTTATGTTAAAGTTTTATCTCCAAGAAGCTCTCCATTTATTCTCACAGCTATATAGTATTTCACTGTATAAATATGCAACAATTTATTCATATACTCTATGGTTGAAAGACACTATTATTATTGTTGTTGTTGTTATTATTATTATTACTTGATCTTACCAATAGTGTTGCAATTTTTATACCTATTTCTTTGTGCATAAATAGGACATATTCCCTAGGGGACTGTTTCTGAGTTTAATGTGCTTAGAAATCACCTGGGCATCTTGTTAAAACAAGATATTGATTCACCCGGTTCAGGGAAGGGCTTGAGAATTCTGAATTTCTAACAAGCTCTAAGGTGATGCTGATGGTCCCTGGACCACATAATTAAGTAGCAAAGCAGTAGGTATTTCTCTGGGAATTAAGTTTCTGGATGCTCCAAAATTTCTTTGCAAAATGATTACATTGTATGTATCTGGGTAATCTAGGATTTTCTCCTTATCTTATATAGCAACCTTAATTCCAGCTTCAGTGCAATAAAACCTACAGTGTTCACAGGTTGTGTGGATTAAGATATGGACATCTTTGGGATTGGGGGGGCATTATTCTGCATATTACCAAGATTATAACAACTTTCACATCCATCAGTAGCATAAGTGTTTCTGTTGCTACACATCCTTGCTAACATTTGGTCTTGACAGACATCAGTCTTTTTCTAATCTGATGGAGTGTCAGATGAGATCTCATTTTTTTGTTTTGATTTTCTTTTCCTTAAATACTTGTGAGGCTGAGCACCCTTTTTATATATTTACAGGTCATTTTCTCTTCCATAATTTGGCTATTCATATCCTTTGCCTATTCTTGATTGGGATGTTTGTGTTTTCTTATTGATTCGTAGATGTTTTGTATTTATTCTAGATACGAATTATTTGTTGTTGCAATTTTAAAGTTGCAATCTTAATCTAGTTCATTTTTCAAATTACTTTATGGTTTATTATTTATTTATTTATTTGTTATTAAGACAGCTCTCTCTACCCTAAGTTGGTAAAAAAAAATTCTCCTATATTTTCTACTAAAAGCATTATGATTTTGTTTTTATATTTGTCTTTAATTCATATGAAATTTACTTTTTACGTGTGAGGAAGAGATCTAATTATATATTATTTGCATGCTTATAAACAGTTGCAGACAGACCCATTTATTAAGTAGTCAATTGTACCCCTTCTGATTTGTAATACTTCCTTCATATATTAGGTTTCCCATGTGTCTAGGTCTGTTTTTGGGTATTTATCATACCTTCACCAATTATACATTTTCTTAATTACAATAACTTTATAATTAATCATTATATCTCATAAGGCAAATTTCTTCACCTTCTACTTCAAATTCTTCTTGGCTTCATTATATAAGTTTTTATATAATGAAGCCAACTTCCTTGAAAACCTAGGTTGGGATTTTATTTTTTCTACATTGAATGTATAGACTAATTTGGTACAATTGGCTTCTTTGTGAAACTGAGTCCACTCAAGAACTTGATATATCCTTCCATACATGTAGTTTTTTTTATGTCTTTCAATGGTTTTGTAATATTGTACTTTATGTATCTTTTATTAAATTGATTACTAAGTGTCTCATATTTGTCATTGCTATTGTAAATGAAAGCTTTTTTAAAAAAATGTATTTTCAATTGTCTGCTGGTATTAAGAAAGCAACAGATTTTTGCATGTTGATCTTTTATCCAGCAAAACTTGCTTAATTCTTATGTTAGTAATCTGTCTTTAGAGTCTTCTCTTAAGATTTTTGTATATGAATAATTAACTCAGAATAATTGATAACAGCTTTTTGTTTCTTTTTTTTGAACCTTATTCCTTATGTTGTTGTTTTTGTTGTTTTTGTTTGTTTTTTGTCTTACTTTACCGGCTGGGATCTCCAACACTTCAATGAATAGAACCAGTGTCCACGAGTATCCTCTTGTTATTCCTGTTTTAAAGAGTATGTTCTAAAGATTCACCATTATGCATATATATGTATCTATAGATTTTTGGTATTTACATTTTGTCAGTTTAAGTTCCTGTTTCTTAGTTTGAACATGAATTTTATTCAATGACTTCTATATCTGTTGACATGATTATATGATTTCTCCTTTAAATTGTTAATGGAATAATTTAATAGATCTTCTAACATTTAATCAATCTGGCAGTATTGGAATAAATTCAACTTGGTTATGATGTATTTTTATGCATATATTGCTGGGTTTGTTTGATTGATAAATTATTTAGAGCTTTTGCATTTACATTCTTAAATGAGACTGGCCTGCAATTTCCCTTTCTAATAGTGTCCTTATCTTTTCTTGGTATCATACTTACTACACATATAAAAAGAATTTAGCCCGTCCCTGCACACTCTATTCTCAGAAGCTGTTTGGATAAAGTGGAGTTTATGAGCTCCTTAAATGTTTGCTTGAAGTTTCTTACAAAGCCTTCTGGGTGATGCTCTATGTTTTTCATTAAGTTGAACTTTAAATTATGTGGTTTGTTTCTGTATTTTTTAGCAGGGCTTTTTTTTTTTTTTTTTGGCATTTGAATGATCAATTATGACAAAAGTGAACTTAGTTATGAGAGAGGTATGTTAAAATCTCCCTTCATAATTATGAATTTGTTAATCTTGGGTATATATTTTTAGATAATATTTTACTAGATAATTCTGAAATATTTTCCTGGTAAAATGTTTCTTTTATCACAATTTTTCTCTTTTGCCTTAAAGTCTATTTTTGACTAATATTAATATAGCTATGCTAGCTTTTTTGAATAGCACTTGTTTGGTATATTTTCCCCTGGACCCCCTTTAAATTTGTTGCTTTCAGTATTTCTAGATTGTAATGTTTTACTTATGGCTCTTGAAAGTGACATATAGCTGGGGATTTTAAAACTATACCTATCTGACAACCTTAGTCTCTTAACTGGAAAGTTTGTTTAATTAATATTTATAGTGATTATTGGTATATTTGGATTTATTTTTATATTATGTTGTGATTTTTATTTATCTTGCTCTATGTTTTTGTTCCCTCCTTCACTGCTTTCTATTGGATAGGTCAAGTATTTTTTGTTTTTTAATTCTCTCTATTCCTTCTATTTGAATGTTCTATCTCTTTTTGGTTTTGGTGGTTGTCCCTAAAAAGATAAACATTCTTTAACTAGCAAAGCAAAATTAATTAATTTATCTATCATCTTGCTGAATAATGAAAGGCTCTTAGATTAATGAACTTAAAAAGTACATTTTGGATTATTTTCTTAGTTCTTTCTTCCAGTTTCTTAATATTCTCTTCAGCTTCGCCTATTTTCCCATTTAACCCATTTTTTGAGGTTTAAAAAAATCAATTAACTTTTTTTAAATTCTAAAAGATATATTTGGTTCTTTAAAAAGTTCACTTAGTCTTTTTCTTTTTTTTCAGGTTTCTAATTCCTTCTTATAGGTCTTAAATAATTCAAACACACTTATTTTCTAGTTTCTAGCAGATATTTTAAATAAATGAAATATTGGGGGAGGCTGTCTAATCCTTTTGGGTTTCTGATGATTGTCATTTGTGGTGGATTGTTTACTCATATGTTTAAATATTTTAAATTATGAATTTATTTTTACAGTGGCAAATAGCATACATTTGAATCTGAAACACGTGTGTCACAAACTTTTAGGGACTCTTTAGAGTTCCATCAAAGAGAGACATGCTTACTTCTCACTTTCTTGTGCTAGGGCAGAGTGGGGCTATGCCTACTGAAATCCAGTATGTAACTCTTTGAGAGTCAGTCTTACTTTAGGTGAGGGTCTCATTTCTAACTCCGCCCTCCTCCCCACCTAAGTTTTACTCCCACATGGTCATTCACACTTGATTGTTACAGAACTGATAACCCTCCCTCCACAAGGGCCCTAGCATCATCATCAGTTCTTGGGCATACCTTCTGGTTTAGGTTTCTTCTTTGTCTTTGACCTCTGGATATTTCCTTTGTGGGAGGGATGGGGGTTTGGGGGAGGGGGACAGCTCATTTGTACATTTAAATTTTCTTTTTTTGTTATAAGTCGAACACATTTCCAGTTTTATGTGGAAGGATTTTCAGCTCATACAAATCTCTATATATTGGCAGAAGCAGGAATCCCTAAATTTACTTTAAAAATATGATCTTTGACACTAAACCTAGTGGAACAATATACTCTACACAGAATATCAGGTTATTAAAGACATAGCTAAAATCAGTTTATTCCTTTCCTGCAGCTCTTTCTCATTTTAGGTTTACCAGTGTTGCTGTGTTGTTATTTAAAAAGTATGGTTATAAAAGTATAACTGCAACTCCAGAAAGATTAAAGACAGAATAACTTGGCTTCTAGAGATACAGAAATTTTTATTAAATTGGTTTATCTTGGAATCAAAGAGTAACTTTCACAGTTTAGACCGGTAAAACTGCTTCCAAAAGAGAAGTGGAAAAAGTTTTCTATATGTAAAAACTTGTGAAATAATAAAAGTGCGTACAAAATGCTGAAATGATAATCTTGCTTTCACACCCCAGTGCCGCTGAATTATTTCTCCCCCTAATCCATCCCCCCCTCCCTTTCATCCTCAGTGCTACCAATTCACGTTACAACAGCTAATCCTCGGGGGGCAAAGTCTTAACTCAGTTTTCCTCCCTCTTTCTCCCGTGACCCTCCTCCAATTAATCTGACTGCAGTGCAAACCTCTGTGGTTTTTACTCTTGTGCAACCTCCACGTCCCCCTCGCCCTCCCACCCAGCCCCCTACTTCCCAAATTCAGAGAAACTCCGGTTCCTGCAGTGCCACTGGCATTACTCATTCATCCCCATTCAGGCTTTCCCCAGCGTTTATTAAGGGCTCCGGGCTCCTGCCTCTCACTCTCGCTCTGCTCAAACTCCGCTCACCGGAGAGGCTCCTGCCTGGTCCCCTCTTGCCAGCTGTGGGAAGTCGCCGAAGAACTTTGTCTCTCTCCAGCAATGCATCTGCCTGCGATTCTACTTTGTGTTCTCTGGTCTGCAGTGCACGCCGAGAACTTGGATGATTATGAGCTCATGTATGTGAACCTGGACAATGAAATAGACAATGGACTCCATCCCACTGAGGACCGTAAGTTCATTTTAACTGTTTCTCTGCTAACTCTCACTACATACCCGCCTCTTTGGGTCTAAAAATTATCCTTTGTAGCCAACGAAACGAGCTAAGATTATAGCTTTGCAAAAGAGAGAAGCACTTTAGGAAAGGGGGAGGTTTCCGAAAGTTATTTTTTTGAGATACACAATGGGTTGAATAGTATTAAATCGCTGATATTTGCTTGTTTTGAGCGACACCAACGGCAACTTCATAGAGTTCGGCTTCATGTGTACTTGCATGAATGGTTTCTGTCATTCTGGAGATATTTACATGCTGTTTTATCGAGGTGTCCTTAAAGGGAAGGGGGGGGTTGGGCCGTAACTTGGGGCCACCGAGGGAGGTCAGCTTTTTACAAAGCACAGCCAAGGAAGGCCTGGGAGGGTCGGTAATGTGTGTGTGTTCTGCACTCTAGCCACGCCGTGTGACTGCCGTCGGGAGCATTCCGAGTGGGACAAGCTCTTCATCATGCTGGAGGACTCGCAGATGAGGGAGGGCATGCTGCTGCAGGCCACCGACGATGTCCTCCGGGGCGAGCTGCGGGGGCTCCGGGGCGAGCTGGGCCGCCTCACGGGCAGCCTGGAGAAGCCGTGCACATTCGCGGCCCCGGCGGAGGCTGGGGTGGCCCAGGTGCTGGACGAACTGCTGCAGGCGAGCCGCGACGCGGGCCAGAGGCTGGCGCGCCTGGAGGCGGGGAGCTCCCTGGGCGCTGTGCTGGAGGAGCTGAGGCGGACGCGTGCGGACCTCCGCGCCGTGCAGGGCTGGGCGGCCCGGCGCTGGCTGCCAGCAGGTAAGGACGCCGGCGGAGCAGGGGCACTGCTGCGGCTTTGTTCTTGGTGTGCGGGTTGCGGGCAGCCAAGTCAGGCAACCCTCCAGGGGAAGCTTTAATGTGACACACACTGTGCGCACACACACACTCCCATGCACAGCCACGGCGTCAGGCACACCATGCAAGGCGGGAAAATTGGCTTTAAAACGTATTCTCCAGTCCTGTGGAAGCCTGAAGACAGCTGTGGACGTGACCATTGTAGTCTTGAAATAGGCAAGGGCCTCTGACACCCGATCCCCGCGGTGTTGCAGCGGCTCTATTGGCCAGTTATAACAGTGACCTCTTTAGCCCGCTAGTTTCCCCTCGGTCAGGGATTTCCACTTCTAATTTTAGCCTGCCTCTCTCTTTAGGGGAGCTCTGGTTCCCCGCGCTATTTCAGGGCCCAGCCTAATTTTTAGGGACGTTTTCCATTCTCTGAGTCGGCTTCTCCTCCCTGCTGGTTCTGAGCAAGAGACTTGAGGCTAAATCTGATCTCCTGAAAGGTTAGTGGAATTCTTGAGAGGCCTCCAGCCCCTGTAGTCTGTGGAATTAGCGGGAAAGTGAAGGTCCCAGGGTGCGAGCTTTAGAATAAACCAGCCACTGAGGGATCCGAAATGGAACTGTCAGTGTAGGAGCCAGTTGGTACCCCGGCCCCACCTCCGGGGATTTGGGGGATCAGGGCCAAAGAGGAGAGAGGTGGTTCAAACTAGATGCAACTTGTCAAAGTCCCATGTAATACTCCACGAATCTTTAAACACATGTGGGCCCAAAATAATACATTTTAAAGATGGTTAAAAGAAATAAAGAGAAGATTTGGAGCCAAGTAACACTCTTTTATGAGTCAAAATTTCTAGAAAATTGTGATGCAGCAACATTTGTGGGTTATATTAAAAAACCAGTGTCCTAGGTAAGAAAATATAATTTGCGTTTTTTCCTGAGAATCTCAGAAACCGAAAACAATTACGAACAATGCCATCCTTCTCTATATTTCCAATTAGATGGAGTATGAGGAAGAATCATAGGCATGTGTGAGAGCACATTTCATTTAAAATTCAGAAACCATACCAGAATATCAGTCTTTTCTAGATATTTTAAGACTGTTTATCAGTACAGAACATATTTTCTTAATCTGCATATTTGTTAGAGCAGGAAAGGGATGTATTTCTGATTTCTAAAATGTTAATTTTTTATTACATCCAATAATACATTTATGTACATGCTTTGATTTCTCCTCTCTCGGTTTCCTGCCAGCTTGGCTCCTATGGGATTTCTAATCATTCTGTTGTAGGCCTCCTAAGAACCTGGTTTTAATTTTGTTTGGTCTTTGATAATATAATCAGAAAAACCTATTAGTTAAAAGCCATTTCATGAGAGAGTTTCTGACATTTTAAAGAGATAGCAAGAGCCTCAATCACTGGTCCCCCAAAGAAACCACAAAAAAAACCTGCCAAAATGCAGCTTCACTCCATTAACTCACATAGCCAGTGCAGCCTACAGAGGAAGCTGGGTCTCTGAGAGGCAATCAAGGAATGCTTTGGAATGCAATCCTGACTGCCTGAGCTTATTTAAACAGGAAATCAGTTAATTAGATTGTAGTAGGTACCCTCTTGAACACTACTTTACTGAAACATTATAGAGAGTATCTCAAATGTCCATGCATATGGTGATCTTTTGTTCCATGATCTTTGTTTGATTTATTTAACAAAGCTAGAAAAAGAATGCACCTACCAATTTCATTTGAAAATAAGAATCAATGCCTCATTAAAAATTAATTTTAAAAAACCTTCAAAAATTCAAATTGCTCAGTGAAAAGTTAATACTAAAGTGTAACAGGACTAATTTTGTGCTTTAGTATCATAGCTACTTTTATAGGATTCTCTGAATCTGTTGTTGTTTGTTTTTTGTTTTTGTTTTTTTGGACAGAGCCTAGCCCTTATCCACTTGCATGTGTTTAACTCAGCTTACCACACTTCACATGGACATTTGGTTCCTGCAAGTTCTGTCTATTCATCAGTTAGTCTTTAAATGTTCTGGGAGTTTCCTTTTTCAAAACTATCTTATGGCAAATCTTCATTAGATCATTATAAAGTGAATAGCTTGTCCTAATTTAGATTAAAAAATATTTCATTATTTGGTCTGTCATACATACATGAGGTTAGCAGAAAGCAGAGCTCACCTATTAAAGGTTTTAGTACATTGTTTTCTAGAGACATGTAGAAGGTTTCACTTCAGCATCTCCAGCTCCTTGATAGGACATGTGATCTGGAAACGGACAGAGATGGGAGTTTATTGAACTCCCAACCTCCAAGTTTGAAAGTCTCCTTCTTTCTCTTGGAAGAATTCACTCTTCCATAAGTTTTTCTGTTACTGCTTAAATAGTATTTATAAGCATGAGGACAAAGTAAGAGTTTTTGAGCATAGCTTTGATCTGCACAGCTCTTGAGTGCTACATACTTGATGCTTACAGACATGCAGAATATTAGAAGAATGAAAAGAAGAGCCTTGTATAGATAAGAGTAAAGCCTGGAGAGATCAGGAGTTCATCAAAAACTGCAGAGCTTACTAGTTGTACAACAAACTGAATTCCAGCTCTTCTAGCCAAATCCAGGGGTTCTTCTACTGTTAAGAGGTGATGCAGTGTGTAAGTTAAGAGTTTGGTTTCTGCAGCCAGAGTGCCCGAGTTCAAACCCAGTGTTACCACTTATCAGCTACGTAAGCATAGCCAAGTTGTGGAGTGCTCTATGCCTTAGTTTTCATATCTGTCCAATGGGACGATATGAGAATTAAAATGAAATTTAAAGTGAAAAGAACAGTATCTGGCACATAGTGAGTATCCACTAAGAGTTAGTCATCATTAGTATACATTGTTGCTTTCAAAGGTAGTTTTCTACAAACTTTGTAAAGTTTATAAACATCTGAGAACATTTGGGATATTAAAATGCATCAGCAACACCATGACTGTCCTAGAGTTTTTATTTAAAAATGCATGTAGACAGTGGCTAATGGGTGAGCAAGGTATGTTGAATTTCACAGGTTTTTGTTCCGAGAGCTTGGTGAAATCCAGGAGAGGGGAACAAGTTTGACTCTCGACTCTTGAGTTCCATTAGGGTGTCATTGTTTGAAGTTAATGCATAGTGACTGAACATTTTTTAAAAAGCTGTAACAAAGAAAATAAGCTAATTAGGAGGGAAAATAGTTATTAAAACATGATTTTCATTACTTCGTGGGTTTGGACAGTTTGATTTCTCAGCATACCTTCTCCTCCATTTAGCTACTTCATTGAATGAAACAATTGGCTTTCCTTATTCCCATTTTCTTTGCTCTACAGAGATTACACTTGAGGACCCTCAAGTCATAATCCGATGTTGCATATAATTTTCAATTGCTGTCATTAAAATGCCCATGTTAAAATACCTAAATGCCAGAATCATTTCCGAATGAATTTATATTTTTCTCTCACATTCTTCTCATTTTCTGTTACTTTAGGTTGCGAAACAGCAATTTTATTCCCAATGCGTTCCAAGAAGATTTTTGGAAGTGTGCATCCGGCAACACCAATGAAGCTTGAATCTTTTAGTGCCTGCATTTGGGTCAAAGCCACAGATGTATTAAACAAAACCATCTTGTTTTCTTATGGCACAAAGAGGAATCCATATGAGATCCAGCTGTACCTCAGCTATCAGTCTATAGTGCTAGTGGTGGGTGGAGAGGAGAACAAACTGGTTGCCGATACTGTGATTTCCCTGGGAAGGTGGACCCATCTGTGCAGCACCTGGAATTCAGAGAAAGGGCGCGTGTCCTTGTGGGTAAACGGTGAACTGGTGGCTACTGCCGTCGGTATGGCCTCAGATCACATTATTCCTGAAGGTGGAATCCTGCAGATTGGCCAAGAAAAGAATGGCTGCTGTGTGGGTGGTGGCTTTGATGAAACATTAGCCTTTTCTGGAAGACTTACAGGCTTCAATATCTGGGATCGTGTTCTCGGCAATGAAGAGATAAGAGAGATGGAAGGAGCAGAGTCTTGTCATATCCGGGGAAATGTTGTTGGATGGGGAGTCACAGAGATTCAGCCCCACGGAGGAGCCCAGTACATTTCATAAGCGTTGTGAAACTCGACTTGAAGCCAAAGAAAGAAGCTCACATTTTAAACATATGCCAGCTGGGAAGGTCTAAAAATCTCAATGCATATTAAGAACACTTGAGACTAATGAAGGGGAGAGTTGAGATCAATATTTATCTTGGCAAAATATTCTATAAACAGTTGAGAGAAGACATTGGAGAAGGCTTTTGAGGATATTGTTACCAGACTTTATGCCATGGTGCTTTCAGATTAATGCTATGTCTTTGTCAGATAAACTCTCAAATAATTAAAAAGGACTGTATTATTGAACAGAAGGACAATTGTTTTACTTTTCTTTGGTTAATTTTATTTTGGCCAGGGATGACTTTTTCATTGAAAGAATAATAAAATAACATTTGTTGTCCATTGTTTATTGTTATTGGCATGTACTTTATAAAAAATGATTATGAGACATATTTATACTACAGTGTGACTTAACAAATACAAATGTAGTTTCTGTGTTATAATCAAGGGTCATTTTTTGGAGAAAATAGTTATATAAGTTATATTGTAAAATGGTTTTGTATTAATTTTATTAAAACTATTTTTGTAAAGCTCTACTGTAAATAAAATATTTTATAAACCTAGTGCATGTCATGTAATTATAAATTTAAAAGATTTTGGAGCAACTCTGCTTTTCTTTTTTCATCTATAGCTGGCAATTAGTCTATTATGTAAATAGTAAGTTAATATTATTAAAAACAAACTATAGTGTTGTTTTACTTTTTGGCTTCCTATAAATCATAAGGTACAAATATGATCTTGGCTAAGTCAATTCATCTCTCTGGGTTTAGTTTTTCTGTCTAAAAAAATCAAAAAATAATGATCCTCTAGGTCTCTTCCAATTTGATGATTCTATAAGCATATACAACTTTCCTGTCCTGTGTAACATGGGGAAAAAACATGAATTCTCAGAGTTCCCAGATATACATGATGACGGAAAGAAATGGCTTAGGGCTATTATTTGGGGGATCTAAGAATCTGGCAAACAATGACTCCTGACCTTAAAGCAAATCCCATTCTCTCATTTACACATGAAAGAGAGAACAGTCAAACCCCTTCACCCTATAGATGTAGAAGTAACTCCCTACCACACTGGTATTCAACTCCTGTCGAAGTTATGTAGGGCTGTTAGAACATAACAAAGCTGCTTCTTAATGTCAGTGGGAAATATGGTAGAACCACAGTGATGATGTTCTCATTTAAAGATGGGGCCTAAACAACCACAGGCCATACCCTGTTTATGTGGATTAGAGAATAGGGCCAGGAATAATGATCAAAGTACATTTTGTAACTAGCTGGATGTCCTTAGATAAGTTGCTTAACTTCTCTGGGTTTTCTCAGTAAAAGAAGATAGTTGGGCTCTTGGTACCTTTTAGCAATAAAACTCCATGAATCTAGAAATGTTTGAGAATGCTCACGGTATTTACTTGTGAGACACACAAAATCAGGCTGATGGCTCTCAAATAAAATTGCAATTATGAGGTCATAGGCCAGTCTCACATCCTTGGAGACTATATAATGCAAGGTTGTAGGCACAGTGACCATATGCAAATCCCTGTTTAACTATGTCTATATGACTTGGATGCTTAGCTAGAAGAAGACATACTGAACCCAAACTTAAGCAGAGAGTTAGGCATGTTTTCAACTCTTTTCCACGTTTTAGCATAAATTATGTCTGTTCAAGAAACCCAACATGATACAGGCCAAGTATATGCAAACTCATACTGATAGAGTTAAATGTAAGGCCACTTCAAATTTTTTACAGGAATCTCATTTTGAGGGCAGAGAAAAAACAAATAGAAGAAAATAAAGTAATTCTTGGGTTACAAAAGTAGAAACTTCATTTGCTACGGCGTTAAGTCTGGATAGGTGTTCCAGGGATTTCTAATTGTTCCCTGATATCCATTTTCCTCATTTTCCCACCTAAGTAACAGAAATCTGACTTTAATGGCACATATGGGCACTCAGACTAAAGTCTGTATTTTATAGCATTAATTGCAGTAGGTGTGGCCATATGATAAGTTTTGGCTGATGCTGAAATAGTGAATGTGATTCTCTTTCTTTTCTTCCTTCTAGCTGATTAGAATACGGTAGACGGCTGGGATCCCAGCAACCATCTTAGAACATGGAATTCAGCATAAAAATCTAGAAGAAGGCTGGGTCTTCAATGGTATCTGCCTTGCCAGCCCTAAGCTGCCTATCCTTAGACTTCTTTTACATGAGAGAAAGATACACTTCTATCTCCTTAATTCCACAATTAACCGACTATATAATTTAATCCTGATCCAGAAGAACAATTTTTTTTAAATTAGAAAGACCATGAACTTTATTCCCTCAAAATGCTCATAGATTTCTCATGTTTACTGCAGCATTATTTACAATAGCCAAGATTGGAAGCAACATAAATGTCCATTGAGAAACGAATGGATAAAGAAGATGTAGAATATTAGTCAGCATGTTTACTGCAGCATTATTTATAATAGCCAAGATTGGAAGCAACCTAAATGTCCATTGAGAAACAAATGGATAAAGAAGATGTAGAATATTAGTCACCATAAAAAAGAACAAAATCTAGCTATTTGCAACAACATGAATGGACCTAGAGGATATCATGCTGAGTGAAGTAAGTCAGACAGAGAAAGACGAAGACCATATTATTTCACTTATATGTGGAATCTAAAAACAAAACAATGAACAAACAAAACAACAGAAACAAACTCATAGATACAGAAAACAAACTGATGGTTGCCAGGGGTGTGAGAGTAGGGGATGGATGAAAAAGGCAAAAGAAATTAAGAAGTGTAAATTGCCAGTTAAAAAACTAGTCACAAGGATATAATACACAGTACAGGGAATATAGTCAATAGTATCCTAATAACTATTTTTGGTGCCAGATAGGTACTAGACTTATTGTGGTGATCACTTAGTAAGGTATGCATATAAATGTCTAATTAACATGTCATATACTTGAAACTAATATTGTATGTTAACTATAATTTAAAAAATTTAAAAACCCTTATAAACTATACTTAGAAAATACATTTTACAAATTTCAGGAAGCTGGTCATCTCAATTATTTTTAACAGCAATTTAATTTGTTTTAGAATACATAGTGACAGCAAAAGGAGAAAATACGAAATGTGTAAAACTGACATAAAATATCTAAAAAGAAATATTAGTATGTTGTTTTAGTTTAGCACAGTTAGTGTTTTAGTTTGGCAGAATTTCATTCACTAAAATGGTTATTAAGGGCATGGCCATATTATGGCACAATAAAATAATTATGCAAGATGACTGAAGTTATTAAAAGGAAAAAGGTTAATATGTTCCATATGTGTAAATTGTTAAGTATTATATGTGTACGTTAGGAAGATCAACTGTACTGATTTGCCTATGATTGTCTCAACTTTAGCACTGAAAATCTTATGTCCCAGGAAAGCCTTCAGTTCTAGGCAAATTGTGACAGTTTGTCACTTTGTCACCCTAGAACATGTATATGTATATCAGCAGAACAACTTTTTTGCAGTGATAATATAGGAACAAAACAGAGGTGATACACTTTCCTTTTCTATTACAATATAAATTGGCTTCTAATTCAGTATTAATTTTTTAAAAATATATTTAGAACGTTTGATTACTAACTGTATTTTGTAGAATTTTAGAGCTTGGTATATACAATTACTTAATTTACTTTAACGAAGAATTAGATTTGTGAACAAAGAAGATATTATAATTGAATTTATTTCATCTCATTAACTTTTATATTAGAAAGCTCTTTTTTGAGAAGACTCCTAAGGCCAAATGTTCCCCAAACTATCTTTTAGCCACTTAAGAAGTAGCACTTATAAAGTTAAAAACCTTGGTCAAAGTAACATTTACTTATATATTCTTGTATTCAGTGAACCCGAAAACTCAGATCACTGATACTTCGCATTCAGTTTTATAAATCTGGAGTATAGAAGAAATCTTGCTGGGTTTGTGGTCAGAAACTCAGCATCCAAATCTTAACACCATCACCTACTAACCATAAGAAGCTGAGCCTGCCAACTAATCTTTATCAATCTCAAATTAGCCAAGAAATAAAGGTTAGCAGGACTTGCTTACCTTGCTGAAGGGTTATTATGAAAATGACATAAAAACAGATAATGTAACTAAAAATGCTCTCTAAATCATAAAATAATATTTGAAATAAGTTACCTTAAAAAATATTTTCCAAAGCCATTCCCAGTGGATTAAATAGAAAATAAGCAAACAAAATACAAACACATATAAAGGTTTTCTTCCATTATGGGTAAGTCATTCTCAGAAATTCAGCATATAGATGCTCATATCTGGACAGGCCTTATTCTACTTCATAGCAACATCTGCTGGTGGAGTCGAGAAGGTGCAAACTCTGCCAAGCACCTCATCCAAGACTTGGTTAACAACTCAGAACATATATATTTTCAAAATATGTCTCTATTTCTTAATCCACATTTGGGTTGGCTTTTTATAACATTATATTTAATATTTCCTTATGTATATAAATATTCAGGTTGAATATTCTTAATAAGATTGCTTAGTCATTCGTTTCCTAGAATATTTTATTAATAAATTCTTTCTCAACAACCTGTAATATGGTGAACTTAAAACCTTTTTCTTTAAGAATAATTGTATCATGAATTTTTAATGGCTATATATCTCCCAGGGGTTATGAAACTCTACAAATGGATATGGTTCTTGCTTCAGTATTTTATTATACCCTGACACATGGCATATGATATTCGATTAACAATGACAATGATGATAATGATGATGATGATGATATTAAGAAGAATCAGAAAGCATGGTAACTATGGCCTAGCATAGTACAAAGTATTTCTGCTTTATCTATTTAAGCTTCACATCCACCCTAGGTGGTATATATTATTACTGCCATAATAAATGGGGGTTGGGGAAGTCAATTTCCATCTTCATTTTTTCTGAGACAGCTCACTAATCAGTGGTTTGAGTTTTATCTCACATTGAGAAAGAAATGAGGTGAATCTATCATAATTAACTAGACAGTCTTTTCTAGGTTATTGCCCATAAGTCAGAAAGGAATTTGGACCCTTGCTGAGACAATATTACATTTTCTTTCTAAAAACTTTCTACTTAAGTTTCAAATCATTTGAGGTCATCTTGTTACTTGTGTCAGAGGGCCATGTAAAAGGCATATGGATAGAGGGACATAGTATTTCCTTATTATGATCATTAATTCAGAAATGCAGAGGAAGGGACATCACTGCTTTAGTTTGTTAGCAGCGGTGTGCATTGCATCACAGAGTCTTAAATCAAAATTTGGAAACGGTTTCTAAGCCCTCAAATAACCCCTCAGAGTTGAAGAGACTCTCATTTTAGGGGTTTCCAATAATGTTATTAGCTCCTTGGGTGAAAGATATGCCAACTCATGCTGCACTAAGCATTGATTATGCCTTTATATTCTAATACCGGACAGGTTCTACATAGCATCCTCACATGGCAAAGAACAAGATTGGAGAATTACTCAGGACCATTGGAAAGCAACTCTCCCACTCTGAAAAGGTTCTGATGTTACAAAATAAGC